AATTAATTTAAATTTAATTATATATTTTACAATTTTTTAATTAAGTAAATAAATGACAACGAGCTAAAATATTTTAAAATATATTTTAATTAAAATTATATTTTTTTGTTAATAATTAAATTAAAAGTATCTTTTAAAATCTTATAATAATTATTATTTAATGATGTTAAATTAATATAATAGAAGAGTAATAGTATAGTGCTTGCGTCTCTAAGAAATAAATGTGTAAATTAATTAATATTTTAATATGTGAAAAGTGAATAATGTGATATTTACATCTTTTAAGATAATGAAGTTTAATTTACATTAAGAACATTAAATTAAATAAACTTAATTATATATTTTAATATAAAAAAATAACTGAATAATATTTTTATTAAGAAAGGATAATATAATTTATTCAATTTTATATTAATTATTTTTAAAATCATATTAATCATAATTTGGGAGTGATTCACGGTTTAAATTGATCATGCATAAATATTAATAATGATCTAAGAAAATTATATATATTTTTCTTATTATAGCACAAGTCTACATCATAATAAAGAAATAAATTCAAAATAATTGAAGAGTTTTGGTACTCATGATAATTGAAAGGTTTTGGTACTTCAAATTATGTAAATAAATAAATTTTAAAAAAATAAATTTAAAATAACATAAATTTTAGATTAAAAATTTGTAGAAGATGAATCTATCAAAAAGACTAATTCAAACAAAAAAATTGAAAGGTCAATTTTTATAATAAATTTTATTTATATGTGATACAATTAAAAATTTAAAACATAAAGTATAATAACATTATAAAAATATTAAAATAAAAAATAAAAATAATTAATAATACAACTGAAAAACTATTTTATATTATAAATTCAAAAAATTAACAAAAAAAAAATTAAAACATTTTAACAAAATATTAATATTAAACTATTTAATTATAATAGATGTTATATTAAGATAAAATTTAAAAAATATAAAAATAATATAAAGATATAGAAAACTTTATAAAGATAAATTATTAAAATATTAAATTAAAATAAAAATAAAACAAATAATTATAAAAAGAAAAATAAAATTAAACGACTGTACCAGTACCCCACTATTATAATGGGTACCGTAAAATTTTCCAATATTAAAATTAATCTAAGAAAATTATATATATATCTTTTATTATAGCACAAGTCTACATCATAATAAACGAAATATCTTCTTTAATGTATTTCTTTAGATACAATAATAAGATTATTTTTAAAAAAAACTTGTGAGTTGTCCACTTGTAGTCACATTTAATGAATTTCAGTTGTTATTTAATGAGTTTGATTCCTAACTTTATAACTTTTAATAAATTTTAATTAATAATTAAAAATACGTAAAAGAAAATAATGTTAGAGAATCTCTTACCGACACTTTTTTTTAAGGTTTTTGGATTTATTTTGTGGATTGACACAAATTATTATTTTTTATTTATTTTAATGTGTCGATTGATTATCAAGAGTCGAGGAACGATGTAATTTTTTATAATTATATCAGATCCAGGTTTAAAAAAATGGCAAGTTTTCTTGTATAAGTATTTTTATATTTAAGAAAAATTATAAATACAAATAATAAATATTTTTATTAAATGAATGGCAAATAAAAGTTAAAATTTAAAATTTCATACATATTATTTCAATCTTTTTAATTCGATTATAGTGGGTAAAAATACTTTAATAATAATGAATATTTTATTATAGGTTAATTTAATTAGTAAATTTTTTGAATTGTTTGATGTTTTTAATAAATTAATGCATTTAGAAATTTTTTTAATTGAGTTTCTAAACTTATAAATTGTTCATAATTATGCTTTGATTGTTGTTCTAAGTAATTCATGAAGGATTGGAGCAAGAGAAGATAATTTGTGAATGAAGGATTATAAATTGTCTATCACATTTTTGTCGTAAATATACATGAAATAATATAAAAAAACATAAGAAAAATGAAATGAAAAATATATAAAGCACAAGAAAATTATATAAATAACTAGATCTTAAGGAAAAAGGAGAAATGAATCATTTCCATGGACCTACCAAATTTATTCTTCCTCTGACTCGAGCATTAATTTTAATTCCAACAATTTGGTTACACTTTTTATTGGACTTTCATATACAAAGGATGTTAACAGTGCACTTTTTTAATAATTATTATATACTAAAAAAAATACAAGTTAAATTTATTAAATAAGAGATATAAGTCACAAATTTGTATGTATTTTAGTAAATTTTATCAAATAATTTATGCATTTAAAAACATTATTAAAAAATATATTGTTCACATTTCTCTTTTATTTATAATTTTTGTTATCAAACTCGTTATGTCATGTTTTGGGCATAAATATAGTATTTAAAACTTCCAATATTTTGCATTTAAATGTTGACCTTTTGTTGTGTTGTCAACTATGAAGGGAAAAATAATGTTTAAACATCTCTCATTCTTTTTGCCCTTTTTACTTTTCAATATAATAAAACAATTAAAAAGAAATCATTTCATCCAATTACTTCTTAATTCTATTCACCCAAAGAAAAATAAAAATAACTTCCTTTTTGCTTAAAACTCAGCCCAATTTTTATACTCTATTTCTTATTACAATATATCATTTCTCGTCCAAATGAAGTACGAGTAGGGTTACACCAAAGTTAGATAGGATATTCTTAATTCTAGTTGCATTTTTTTTAATATAAGGTCCAATTTGAAAATTTATAAATAGTTCAAAGTTAACCTAATAACATGATCTCAAGCTACTTAGAAATTGAAAATACAAAAGAAAACACTGCAAAGAAATAATGAACTGGGTTTTAAAATATTTTTGGCAAAATAAGACTTTTCATTTTTTTTTTTGAGAAAAAGTTGAAAAACAACATTTTTTTATTCTTAATTTTTCACTTATTTCTGAAAATATTTTCACATAAAACATACATATTTCCGGTACTATTGTCTATTTTTACGCGAAATGAAATAGAAAATGGACAACCAAATAGCCCCTTGGATTTTTCTCATATATTATGTTATGTTGTACTTTCATTCCATTAAAAAATTTATATGATTAATAATAATCTTATAATATTAAAAAATAAAACAAAAAAAGAAACTAAGCTCAAAACTAAAAGTTGGCTTTTAAAAAATTGAAACTAAAATTAACCAAGAGGGAGCCTAAGTCATTGATTTTGAAACACACCGGATTTTATACATCATTATATATATATAGAGAGAGGAGATATCCATTTACTCTAGGAGTAAGTTACTTAGACTTACTCTATTCAATAACTCATGTTCTACATCAAATTTTAACAATCCAACCGTTCAATTAAAAATTCTTAATTCATAGATCAAGCAAATTTTTAGAAAATTTGAAAATCATTTAACACTTTGTTTCATTAATTCGAATCAATGTATAAAATGAGTTTATGATTATCCGTCGATTTGAATCAATGAAATGAAGTATTAAATGATTTTCAAAAATTCTAAAAATTTGCAGATTTGATCTATGCATTAAGAACTTTAAATTGAACGGTTAGATAATTGAAATTTGATGGTAGAACATGAGTTATTAAATGGAATAAGTCTAAGTAGACTTACTCCTGAAGTAAAAAGATTCCTCATATATATATATATATATATATATATATCCTACATGACTTGACAAGCTTATAGATTCATACATTAATTTGCTTCTTGTAAAAGGATGCATAAGATTATCATTCTAAGCTCTCAATTAATATTAACACTATTAATAACATTTTAGTTTGCGTGAGTTTAGTGTTAATTATCCTTATTAGGTTTTATGTTATTTTCAAGTGACTAAAGCATCTGAAAATAATGGGTACATGGGCACATTCTTATACAATACTTTTAACATGTGTTAAAAAAACATGAATAGTATTTAATTTGTAAATAAAAATAAAATAATAATTTAAGGAAGTTTTTTTTTTTAAACAAAGGTGCATCTAAGAAATTAATGAAAAAAGATAAAATTAATTTTATAAAAACATATTTTAATGAAATCATGGAAAAGATGTGACAGATTAAGCATGATCTTGATGGGGAGATAGCACATATGTGCTTGCCCTCATCTTGCCTAACACAATTATGCTAATGTATAATACAATCATGCTAGATTTCAAATATGTGGTTGATTGCATTAGGATACAAACAAATGAATTTTATAAGGATTTATTAAAAAAATGAGAGTTTAATAGAGAATTATAGAATAATTAAAACATATTAAAATAAGAGTTTAACATTTGAGACTTTATTCTTAAGTGAGTAATTTGTTTACGCATGTGCTTTAAGAAGTCTAAGCTACTACTTAATTATGTTGTTATTAGTAATATAATATGTGATATGTAATTGTGTGAGTTCATGCATCACATGCATTATGTTGTTTAGAAGAATGGTGGTGAATTTGATTGTGAAGTTTTTTATGATCATCTATTTTGGTTTTGAGAGTTTTTGCAATTTGGAATATTCAATATATTGATAAAAGAGTATCTTGATGTGATCAAGAAATTATAATTGAGTACTATTGAATCTTTGTTGTAGTTGAGAATAATCTTATTAATACTTATTCTACACTTAAAATGACCAAAACCACATCAAATTAAGTTTTTAAATTGGTTTCAAATTTATGATTTAATCGATAAAAATTATCGTAAATAATAATTTTGATAATTAAAATTAATATTTTAAAAAACTAGTTTAGAATGACTAATTGAATTGAGAATCAATGATTAATTGATTTAAGCCTTTTATTTGATTGAAAATATCATCAACTCACTAAAAATTAACTTAGTTTATTTTTTGAATGAATGAATTAATAAATTATAACTTGGATCATGTAATTATTTTAGGAACAAAATATTTGAAAGTTGAAATCACAATTTCTTTTTAATATGAGAGATTTTTGTTTTTGTTGAGTGAAGAATATAACCCATATCTACGAGATTGCTTAAAAATAAAAGGATCACTTTACCAACACATTTTGTAGATTATATAAGAAATATAAAATTTATATTGTACTTTTAATACATAAAATAATACATCAATAGTGATTATACTATTCACTTATTGATTCAATCATGATCCAGTATCTTTGACTGTGTTAATTAGTGGTCTAACTTTAAAACAATACTTGTAAGTGGAAAATATTGTATTATGAATTCTGGAAGACAAAGAAAAGGTGGGTTTATCGCCTCCACTCGGATATCTCCGTTCTCTGTCCCCAACTTCCAAGTTCCAAACCAACAAACTACCCTCATAACTCATAATTCTCTCTCACACACAGACACTTCTCTTCCTTCAAAATGCAATCATCCATTTCGCTCTCTTCCTCATACGCTCCCACCGTTTCTTTTCCCTTCTCCGTCGCCACTCTCGCGCCTTCAAATCTCCGCTTCTGCGCTCTCAGGCGCCAGGCATTCACTCCCTCTTCTATCGTCCACCGCCACACCCGCCGCCGCGCACACTCCGCCGCAGTGTCCGCCGCGCTTTCCGACAACGGCACCGCTCCCAAATCCTTCGACTACGACTTGCTCATCATCGGCGCCGGCGTTGGCGGCCACGGCGCCGCGCTCCACGCCGTCGAGAAGGTACACTCGACGCGCTTACTCTCTCTGTCTCTCTAGTACGTTGGAAATGAATTTAGAAAGTTAATTTAATTAAGATTTAAGACAGGTGCTAATGCTATGCTAGCAAGTAGCAATACTCTCTGTTATTATTGGTTAAAATTTATTATAAGCTAGAATATTATAGGTACTGAATAAGAAGTGAGATCCACATATTATGATTTTTGATGAAGTTTAGCTAATAACAGAGAGTGGATTTGAAAGAGTG